TGGTCCATTTTTGGATTTTGGGGGATTTTGGTCGATTTTAGGTCCATTTTGGTCACGCTGTTCGCCTCTCTACGGTAGAAGTTGAAAATTTCAGTGTTTCGTTTTTTTCCGATCAAAAATTCATCATTTCTGTTCTTCTTTTTACTTGCTTGTTGCGCGAACGGAAATTCTACTAATCGCCTAATTTCCGTTGGTTGTAAAACTCGTGCGAGCAGAAAGTGTTGCGAACAGAAAGTGTTACGAGCAAAAGCATCATTCGTTCACAATGTGTGATTCGACGGTGGATTTGGTCTTTTAGTTTCCATGGGAAAGTGGAAAGTTTGGCTACTCGTGACTGTGCATAAGTTTAGCTAAATTTGTTTGATTTTTGGACTTGCATTGTGACCTGATGGATTGGAGTGAGGCTAATTTTCATAAGCTGCTTGACCGCTTGTGACTGTACCATAGCTCTAATGACTGCTTGTGACTGTACCATAGCTCACACTAATGTGGTACAAACAATTACAGCATTTTAAATTTACAAACGGATTCGCAAATTACAAAACACTTAACCCCTAAGCTCTAAATGTGGAGAAGAAAAAAAGCCATATAGTTGGAACTGAAGCAGATCAAAAATTCGTGCACCGCCGTGACTCGAACCCGTGACCTTTTGCTTACCGGGCAACTGTGCTAACCATTAAACCACAACGCACCTGATTTCCCTTTCTCCAGAGGGAGTTAACTAGTTTCTTGGTGGTAGATACAGCCTAACCGGGCCCGGTCCATGAAAACCCGTTATGCCAGTCTGCCTCTTTAAACCAATTAGTCCAGCTGCGACTAGTCCAGCGCTGACTAGTTAACTCAAAGGTTCGATTCCTCAAAACGAGAACTTTTTCCATTTTAAACTGACGTTTTTGGAAGCAAAGAGTGAAGCATTTTATCGCGAACGCGACTCGAACCCGCGAACTTTCACTCACCGGCCAACTGTGCTAACCATTACACTACAAAGCCTCTGTTATTTCAGAGGGACTTTGTTCTGAGCCAGACCACCCCACCTCTCTGAACCAGACGATCCCACAGGTCTCGATTTATGGGCCTGGAGTGCGCTCGAAACTAGGTATGAAGACCTAGAATTGCAGAACCCATCCTTCCGTGGTCGCCAATAGGAACTGAGGCAGATCAAAAACTCGTGCACCGCCGGGAGTCAAACCCGTGACCTTCTGCTTACCGGGCAAATGTGCTAACCATTGAACCAGAACGCACCTGATCTCCCTTTCTCCAGAGGGAGTTAACTATATATTGAGTTGAACAACTACCCAACTATATATTGGGTTGAAGAGCGGTTTCTTTAGGAGAGGATTTCAAATTCAATCAATTTCATCAATTTGGACGTGTTCGTTCGTTTGAAAGCTCGTTTAAAAGCTCGTTTAAAAGCTCGTTTAAAAGCTAGTCATTAGGCGGATTCAATGAAAAAACTCGCTTATTGATTTATTGTGTTTTAAAGTTTTTACAGCGGTTTTAGTAGACATGGTCAGACCCCAAAAAAATGCAAAAATAGCATTTTAACGTTTTTTCGCTTAAAAACCTAGGCCAAAAACATATTTTTTGATCAAGGGCAAAAATTACCCCAAGAATTTCATATTTAAATTGAATTGAAAGTAAAAAAAGTTGAAAATTTTGTCGCATGCAGGGCTCGAACCAGCGAATTGAATCGGCATCATTTAAGAGGCTGTAAAATGCGCTGCGAAACTTTAATCGAAGACTTTTTACTACAGAAATGTCGACAAGAATTCTGGCTTTAATTTCCTAGATAATATTTAAGGTTTTTGAGTTGATTGCGGTGCTTGGCATGCAATCGACTGAGAAGGTGCACGGGTGATTTTGCCAAACCCTGCAAGCTCCTCTTAACCAGTCGGCTTTTAAGATAAATCTGTGTAAAGTTTGCAAAGTTTAACTATAGCTAGCAAGATAAGAATGTATTTTTTCTAAACTGGTGCTTTAAATTGGAACTGCCAGCTCTACAATGGCTCTACAATGGCTAGTTCGATATCTTTTTGGACAATTCGATATTCGATTTGTTTATTGGATGCAAGCTGGTTGGGTATGAGCTTAAATTCAATGAAAACTACTCTGAAAACAGCTTTTGAATAGTTACAAGAGTTTGATTCAGAATATTTATAATTTTTGGATCTTTACGGTTATCTTTACGGCGGAGGGGGAGGGGAAGCGATCATCGGGGAGGGGGCTAGCTTTTGACTCATTTGCAGCTCGATTTTAGATAGGTTTTTGTTAATAACTTTTTATAAAACAAATAGTTTCTAAAAGTTGACGTTCTAGGCTATTTAAATCTTATTAAAACTTCCTGATCTGTCAAGTTTAAAGTGCCTAAAAATGAGCTACAAGTTAGACAAAACTCGCTGCTCCCCTTGAGAATTGCTTGACCCGCCCCCCACCCCGTTAACCGTAAAGTACCTAACTTTTTAAAAAATTTAACTTTTCACTTGATAACTTTAATATTCATAACCTTTAAAAGCATCTCTAAAATCGAAATTCCGAGAGAACAGACTTTTCAAACAACCAATCTCTCTAAAAATGAGAGAACGATTTTGATTTTGATCGCTGGTGATTAAGAACTTATTATGCAACGTTATTTTTACTTGTTTGTTGAGAAAACATTGAAATCTTAGATCGAAATCGAAAAGATAATCTTGGAGAACTTTGCTTTTGCGAAAACTTCACTGTTTTTGTTCAAGATTTTTGATTTACGATGTATTGCTCGTTCTCAGAGATTAGTTTTCAAAGTTGTTTGTTTCAAAACGATTTCTGGTTTTGGTAGTTTTGCATTATGAAAATTGACTATTTGGTTTAATTGAGTGTCTAGAGCCACAAAATGATTAGTCCCCAATGAAATGAACTCGTTTTAATAGCTTTTTCTTGTTCTAGGCAAAGCACAATATTCTCGAATCGAACTTGCGAAACTCGCAACTCGTTCTTATTGCTGCCTTTTGTTTTCACAATTGAAATAAAACCTTCTAGGAGCAGACACACTTAAAATATTGTATTCCACTTGACTAAAGTGTTTTATAAATGATGAACTCAAACAAAGCTGCCGTATTCTAGACCTGGTTTCCAGTCTGGTTTTTTTAGAATCGAATCGAGGATGAAAAAGTATGAAATTTCGGTCCAAATCGAATCGGTCTAGACCAAACATGCTAAATTTTCAAATCGAATCGAATTCGGATCGATTCGATTTGATTTGGACGGATTTGATTTGGACCGATTTGATTCGAACCGATTTGATTTGGACCGATTTGATTTGGACCGATTCAATTCGAACCGATTTGATTCGGACCGATTTGATTTGGACCGATTTGATTTAGACCGATTTGATTTGGACCGATTTGATTTAGACCGATTTGATTTGGACCGATTCGGTTCTATTCGGACGGCTTCGATTTGATTTGGACCGATTTGATTCGAACCGATTTGATTTGGACCGATTTGATTTGGACCGATTTGATTCGGACCGATTCGGTTCTATTCGGACGGCTTCGATTTGATTTGGACCGATTTGATTCGAACCGATTTGATTTGGACCGATTTGATTTGGACCGATTTGATTCGGACCGATTCGGTTCTATTCGGACGGCTTCGATTTGATTTGGACCGATTTGATTCGAACCGATTTGATTTGGACCGATTTGATTTGGACCGATTTGATTTGGACCGATTTGATTTGGACCGATTTGATTTGGACCGATTCTATTCGAACCGATTTGATTTGGACCGATTTGAATTGGACCGATTTGATTTGGACCGATTTGATTTGGACCGATTTGCTTTGAACCGATTCGATTCGGACCGATTTGATTCGAAAACCAGGTCTACCATATTCTAGTTACCTCTCATATGGTAATCTGGCTTACGGTAGATCTACTAGGTAGATAAGTACGGTAGCCTGGAGTAAAATCGACTGTAATAGGTGAGCTCCAGTCTACCGTACTCGAGTTTAATGATTCTAGGGTTATTATGGAGAAATAGTATAGAAAGAAGTTGTAGTATAAAAAGCTGGGTTTTTCTGGCTTTTGTTGTGAGAGTAGTCTTTGCCACCGGGGCGCAGTCGCGAGCGCGCTTGTTTGCGGTCCACACGATCCAGGTTCGACACCCTGCAGTGCCACTCAATTCTGGCTTTTTTAAATTTTGCTTTTAAATAGCTCAGCTATATTATAAGGCAACTATATTATACTTTATTATGTTTTCGGCCGATTCGATTTGAGAAAATTTTCAAAAGAGAGTAAAGAATCAAATAAAGTAGACCATTTCAAAGCTAAAACTGCAAAAATCAAAAATCTGTGTTAAGATCATATATCTGTTTATGATCCGAAAAAAACCCCAATAAATTGCTATTCAACTAATTAGAAGACTCAATTCAAAAGTGAACCTTTATAATGAGTTCGGAAAACTTTTAAAATCGTGCCAGAATCATTCAACTTTTGACCAGCACTAACAACAAGTTTCTATCCTTATTTTGTCTCTATTTTTATCCTTTCTATCCTGATTACAAATGCCGAATAGACTGAATAGAATACGAAAAAAAGACCACGAAATATGAGAACTTAAAGATTTACATTCAATTTCATTGAAACTTTTTCCAAAAAGTTGTGGTGATTTTTCCAAAAAGTTGTGGTGCAACAGATCTAAACTTTTCTAAAACAAAACACTTTCCAAAATTGCCTATGTACACATAAACTCGTCACTTTTTGTTCACGTTAGAAGAAAAATCAGGCGAGCAAAGTTTAGAAAGAATTACCTCGTTTTGACTAGACTACGGTATACTTAAAAAAACGGAAAGGGGCGTGGTTTTTGGGGAATTTATTGGAGATCTCCACTCAAACAAAGCACCCAACACAGCCCAATAAAATGAGCAAATATCTTGCTTGTTTTAGACTTTACCACTTCAATGTTCAATTTTTACTTAAACTTTTTATTTTTTCTTGAATTGACCGGTTCTGAGCTGTTTATATACAGAGCTTCAGCTCCAGCTTCAGCCCAGCTTCAGCTCCAGCTTCAGCTCCAGCTTCAGCTCCAGCTTCAGCTCCAGCTTCAGCTCCAGCTTCAGCTCCAGCTTCAGCTCCAGCTTCAGCTCCAGCTTCAGCTCCAGCTTCAGCTCCAGCTCCAGCTTCAGCTCCAGCTCCAGCTCCAGCTTCAGCTCCAGCTCCAGCTTCAGCTCCAGCTTCAGCTCCAGCTTCAGCTCCAGCTTCAGCTCCAGCTTCAGCTCCAGCTTCAGCTCCAGCTTCAGCTCCAGCTTTAATTCTTTTTTTCAATTCTTTAGCTAATGACATTCTTTAAACTATTCAAGCTTTGATTCTTTTGAACTTCAGCTTCCGAAGCTTCAAAGTTTTACTTTACAATATTTAAAATTTCCATTGCTGGAAACACTTGCAAACTTTTACCTGTAATTAGAGGAAAATTTAGGAGAAAAGTTTTTGCCAGCTTTCGCCAATTGCAAGTTTTTAACTGGTGGTTTGACTAAAGTTTTTGACAAACTGAATCGATTTGAATGTACTTTTAAAGGTGTTGAGTGGCAAACTGGTGGTTTGAGTTTAGGCAAACTGGGGCAAACTGGCAAACTTTGAGGCAAACTGGCGGTTTGGGTTCCAGCAAAGGAGGAACAGGCTCAAGTGTTACTTCTTCTCAAAGCCATGAACCAAAATCAACTAACCAACCAAATCGATGAACCAAGCTATGCAACGCAAACTACAAGTTGTAAACTTGCAACAGCGTACTCTCGTAACTCTTGTACATTAAAATAACAAAGGATTTCTTTCTTTCCTTTCTGTTTCCAAATTCCCCAATTCTCCGATTTGCTAATCGAGTTGGACACGGCTGGGAATACAAAAAGTTGTCAGGGCTGGGATTCGAACCCGTGACATTTTGCTTTGCTTGCTACCTATCGCTTGGCTTTGCTTGCTGCTTATCGCTGAACGCTTTACCAATGAGCTAGACCGACAGATTGAGAGCTCGTCTTATTATTGACTTTTCTCATCATCTGTGCAGTCAACTGGACAATTGATTGAATAACTGAATAGGTCTGAATCTAACTGAATAAGGTTACTAAGGCTTAATAAGGCTTGATAAAGCTTAGTAAGGCTACTTAATAAGGCTACTTAATGAGGTTACTTAATAAGGCTACTTAATAAGGCTACTTAATAAGGCTACTTAGTAAGGCTACTTAGTAAGGTTACTTAATAAGATTCCCCCAACGCTCGCTCAAACTTGAGACAAGGAAGCTTTCCATGTTATTGCTGTGATCAATTCCCACCGGCATCACTACAGTAATCCATATAATTACTCCGTTGTAGTGAATTTTCTCATTTCACTTCCCATTCACCAGGCCAATTAAATTGCGATTTATAAGAGTCGCCCAAATCTTATTTCTTTTCTAAAATTCGTTTACAAGTGCTCCTTTTCCTCCGTTAATCTTTTGTACATAGTGAACTTTGCGGCAATCAACAACTTTTGAAACTTTTCGGCAACTTTTGAAAGACTTTTGGATTCAAAATTGGACTGAAATCGGATCTTTGATCGTTTTTTTTGGCAAACTACGACTTTCCAAACATTGAACTGTTAAAAGTGAGCTGTTTGATGTTATTCAGCTTTCGCGAATCACTCTAGATTTCCCAATGAATGTTTTCAGCTGCTTTATTTTACCAAAAAAAAGCTTTCATCTTTGAATTCTTTGGATTTCCTCTTTCCTCTAATCAATATTTCATTATGAGAAAGGATTTTGGAGTGTTTTGAAGAACAGAGAGCTTCTTTTACAGTTTAAAATTTTTTTTTTTGTTCTTGTTCTTGTCATGTTTTAAAGCTTTTATACAGTTTTTAGAACTCTCAACTGGCCGTAATCTTTTTTAAATCTATCGTAGCATTAGAAGACCTTAGGGTACTGTAGTAGTTTGTGAGTATGATGGCTGGGGTACGGTAGGACCGTAGCTCATAGCTTGCCTGCGGTAGCAGGAGCAACGTTTGGAAAAATACCATCAGAGTACGGTAACGGAAACAAAGCTATCAAAAGTCAAAGCCACAGTCAATGCCATCAAAAGTACGGTAACAGGCAAGCTTAAGAGACAAAGCTTAGAAAGCAAAGCTTTAAAAGCAAAGATTAGGAAGTAAAGATTGGAAAGCAAAGCTTAGAAGCTTAGAAAACAGCAATGCCGAATAAAGTACGGTAACATGCAAGCTTAGGAGACAAAGCTTAGAAAGCAAAGATTAGAAAGCAGAGCTTTAAAAGCAAAGCTTTAGAAACAAAGCTTTAAAAGTAAGGCTTAGAAAGCAAAGCTTTAAAAGGAAAGATCAGAAAGCAAAGCTTTAAAAGCAAAACTCTGAAAGCAAAGATTAGAAAGCAGAGCTTTAAAAGTAAAGCTTTAAAAGTAAAGCTTCAAAAGCAAAGATTAGAAAGCAAAGCTCTAAAAGCAAAGCTTACAAAGCAAAGCTTAGGAAGCAGCAATGCCGAAAAACAGCAGTGCCGAATAAAGCACTTGACACTATTTCTGAAAAACCATTAGATCTCAAAAATAGATTTCAATTTTGAATATTCACAAAAAATCCAGAAACCCAGTGATTCCTATTTTTCAATTTTTGTGGCCTTTTTTGTGGTGACCAAATCCGAATGGTGTTCTGAAAGGTGAATTCAAATTTCTCTATGAATTCTTTCGGCATTATGAAAGATTAAAGTTTCCGTAGCATTCCCCATCGAATTCTAAAATATAACCCATTCTTCTGCTCTTCTTTAATCTTTTCGATGAACTACAAACGATTCATCTTTTGAATCCCTTTCTAAACTTATGCAATCTCTCGAAATCCGCTCGGGAACGGCTCTGAATCAAGAATTCTTTGGCCCCGCCCACTTTTCTTTTATTTCTTTTCTTCATTTCTTCATAATTGGATTAACGAATTTCCTCAAAAGACTCCCGAGTGAATATCTTTTAAACAGAATTCAGAAACAGATTTTCCTTGGATCTAGATTTTCAGAAACAGATTTTACAAAGACTATATGTTTACTTTTACTTGATTCAATTCAATGTCCAATTCAATGTCCAATTCAATTCTTCAATTTTCTTCTTTAACTTTCTATTTAGTTCTATTTGAGATCTATTTCAGTTCTATTTCAGATCTATTTTGAATCTATTTCAGATCTATTTCAAATCTATTTCAAATCTATTTCAAATCTATTTCAGATCTATTTCAGTTCTCTTTCAAATCTATTTCAGTTCTATTTTTCAGATTCCGATTCTCACACAAATGTGCTCAATATTGATGGTCTCCTCTTTGTTTTTGACGATTGTCGTGGCTGAAGAGCTTGTTTGGACGTCGTTGAAAGTTCCGAGTGGCGAAGATATGAGTGAGTGGTTTTAGTGTTGAGATTTATAAATCAATCTTGAGTTAGAGTGAGAATGAAAAACCAAGAAGCATTCATTTTTCAAGTAACTAATCAACTAATCTTCAGTTTTACACTAGGCTGAACGCTGAATGGCTTTCAGTCTGACAGAGCTTTATGTCTGACAGAGCTTTATGTCTGACAGAGCTTTATGTCTGACAGAGCTTTATGTCTGACAGTCTGACAGAGCTATGAGCTTTATTTTAAATTTCGAGCAACTTAGCAACTAGACTTTGTTCCTGAGCAAGTAATTTGTTCCTGAGCAACTTGAATCATTCGTGTAATTAATTTTGACTTGAGTAAGGAGTCAGTAAATCAGTAAATTAGTCAAATTTAATAGTCATAGTAAGTCATAGGTCGTAAATCTCAAGTAATGGGATTCTAAAAAGTGTTTTTTCAATTGTTCAGAGCAGTTTTATTACTTTTCTATGCTTTTGAAAGCTTTAAAGTTTAAAGTTTAGAGTTTAAAGTTTAAAGTTTAAAGTTTAAAAGCTTAAAGTTTAAACGTTAACGTTTAAAGGTTAAAGTTTAAAGGTTAAAGTTTAAAGTTTAAAATTCAAAAGTTAAAGCTTAAAGTTTAAATTTTAAGGCTGAAGAAAACCTCATCAATCTCAAAAAAAATGAAGAAAAAAAGAGCACAACTGAATCAACGTGAAGCTTAATATGTGCTTTTAGAGTAAACAAAGTTACAAAGTTACGGACAACAGAATACTAACTGATTACGGTATCTTATCCATCGAATTGTTTAACTTAACTAAACTGTTTAACTGAATTTCCACTTGTTTATTGAATTTGACTGCAAGTTGGCTGCAATTTGACTGCAATTTGACTGCAATTTGACTGAATTTGACTGAATTTGACTGAATTTGACTGAATTTGACTGAATTTGACTGCAATTTGACTGAATTTGACTGAATTTGACTGAATTTGACTGAATTTGACTGAATTTGACTGAATTTGACTGAATTTGACTGAATTTGACTGAATTTGACTGAATTTGACCCGCAGAGCAGTGGCAACGCAGGCTAAACATAGAAAATTCTCTACCATCAATTTCTATGCTGCTGAATTTGCAAATTTTGCGAGCTTTCTCTTTCTCTAGCCGATGAAATCTCGATTCCTAAGCTTAAATCAAAATCACCTGACAAAGTCTGCAAAAACTCAAAATCTGCTTGAATCATGAACTTCCAGAGATTATAGTGACCTCAGCCAAACACGTTCTTTGTACCCCAGCTTCAAAAAAAACTATTCTAAATCATTTACAATCCCATTACCCCATATATGATTCAAATTTTTAACACCTACATAGAAAAAGGCATGTACAGAATCCCGCGAAGTTCCTGGTATTGAATAACAGAGGATTAGCGGAGAGAATTTTCGATGAAAAGACCAAAGACAAATTCTCGTCCACTTTTCCGTCACTAAACCGTCGGCTTTCCATAGAAAAGATTAAAAAAACCCAGAAATAATATTAGAAATGAGTCACCTGACGTGGGTACAAGGTAAAAGAGTTTTTTTTTGAGGTCAGAGAAGTTTTTGAAAGATATTTGATTGACGTAGTCCAGAGATCTTTCATATCGGAAAGTCTTGGTATTTGGAGTTTTCCTGGAAACAATTTGGACCCAGATTTGGACCAGATTTGGACCCAGATTTGCTTTGGCGATTTGATACGGCGCTTTGGCTTGTCAAATCAGAATTGAAAAATCTTTAACCGTTTTTGAGTAACATTGGAAACACTGAATTTGGCGGTGAGATCAAAGAGAGTTAGTGGTGAGATCAAAAGGTTTTAGCGGTGCGATCCAAGGCCGCCTAGGGTACTTAAAAAATGAATTTTAGCTTTATTTAAAATATATTGAGGGGAAATATGCTTATATTTTGAATATCAGTAGCCACTACGGGACACTTCGTTTACTAACTTGCACACAGGCCTCGATCTGACTTCAGACTCGGATCAGCATAGTCGAAAGCCCTTGGGCATCCATTTTCAGCCTATTCCCTGATTTTTTTTCGGACAGACAGATTTGATTCGATTCGAACCTGGATTCGAACCTGGATCCGAACCTGGATTCGAACCTGGATCCGAACCTGGATTCGAACCTGGATCCGAACCTGGATCCGAACCTGGATTCAAACCTGGGTCCGAACCTGGATTCAAACCTGGATTCAAGCCTGGATTCAAACCTGGATCCGAACCTGGATTTGAACCTGGATCCGAACCTGGATCCAAACCTGGATTCAAACCTGGGTCCGAACATGGATCCGAACCTGGATTCAAACCTGGATCCGAACCTGGATTCAAACCTGGATTCAAACTTGGATTCAAACTCTCGACTCCCGGATCTGGAGACCGGCGCGCTATTCCCTTGGCCACACCTGCTCCGAAAAATTTTCACTTAAATTTGACTCATTTTGGCCTAAATCGTTAGGAAAAACGTATTCGCCAGCAATATCTTGTAAAAGTCAATTGAAATTTGAGATATTCAACGTCGCAAACTGACTAACTTATTTCTAATGACAGGTCAAAAGAATCTTACAAATACCGATTCTTGTGTCATTTTATAAAAGGCGAAATTCAGGAACTTGTCAACCGAGGGACGGTGAGCGCACATATCGATGCCCGCCAAACAACAGCGTAGATTCGTTGAACGAAAAACTTACTTGCATAAAGAAATCACAGTTCTGCGATAAGGTTTGTTTTCGATTGAAAATCTAGCAACTATAAAACCAAATATCAATCTCCAATAATTAAAGCCTTGTTTTCAGAATCCCGATTGCCCAAATGAAAGCGATGAGGATTTGACGAAGTGTATGTTCCTTGAATTGGTGAGTGTTCAAAGAATTAAGTTTACTTTAGACTCAAAAGCAGAAAAACAGAAAAATACCCTTGAATAGTTCATTTTTAATGTAAAAGGACTATTTTAGAATTGGTATCGAACTGGTATTGAAAGGAATAACTGAAATTGAGAAAGCCGATCCTTGTCTAGGCCTTTTGATCTAGGATTCTGTGTGAAGAATTGTATTTCAAGTATTTTGACACTGACTGAGCTGAGTGTGAGTAATAAAGTAAAATACCGTTTTCTCTATAATAGTAGTGCACCTTGGCGAGCCGAGTTGATGACTATTTTACGGTTTCTAAGTTTTCACAGAAGCTCAACACTCTAATCCCTCACTAGATCGCATCGTCAGCTACATTTTCCGATCCCACATCAATAGGTTCTGATAAGCGGTTCTCGAGATTTCGACCAATTTAGGCAACGCTCAGGGTGCACTACTATTAGAGAGAATACGGTAGTAGGCCTTAATTTTAAGTAAAATATCGGCCAATTTAAGTGAGACAGGTTTTAATTACAGTACTCTGTGCTACAGTTCGTTCTCGCTATAAAGTAGAAAACAGCTTAGGTTTTCTAAATTTATAGTTTAGATATTCAAAAGTGTTTCATCCATCGAGTAGTCATTGTTAGAGTAGTTCTTTAAGTTCAAAATTTGGTCACAAGGAGCGAGTCCCAGTTTTAGAGTCCCAGTTTTTCTCGAGTTTTGGAGATTTGAAGTTCGATAGAATTGCTAATTTTGAGTTTCTGAGTAAAGTATCAAAGTAAAGTGTTGAAAATAAGCAGTAAATTCTACCATAAAAAGTTTTCTGGGACATGGTTAACTCTAGGCCGAGCTATGCACTAGATAATGCCAATAATTCTGCCAAGAATTCTTGAACACCGTGTAGAATCGACTACGCTGATTCCGAATGCGTTTTCAGTTTTTGCCTGCTTATAGCGCCAGATAAACTTTCCCTTTTCAGACGGTAAACCAGATCCACTTCGTTCGAGAGGCCATTTATAAATTGATGCAAGAACTGCACGAGAAGCGAGAATCCGAGAAGACCAGCCGATTGCGTAACTCCAAATTCTCGGATGTCCGCCTTCGGAAATGATTCTCAACATTCCCAAGTGATATTGCCAAATTTTTGCACCCGGTGGCTATTCTTAGGGCTTTCTTCGATTTTGCAGTCTAGCGTGAACTATACATGGGAAAGATTCCAAGCCGAACCTAATTCCGCCATTGTTTCCTCGGCTATTTCTCGACCGATTGTTCTGAAATTTTGTCTACAAGCTGAAAAGGTCGATGTCTATCTGTAGAAAAAATTTCATTGGAATCGGTCAAGAATTGGTCAAGAATTGGCCAAGAATTGGTCAAGAATTGGCCAATAATCGGCTAAGAATCGGCCAAGAAAACGAAGGTGGAATTCGGTTCGGATTGGGATTTTCCCATGTGAAAACATATGGAATGGTAACAAATTGCCTCATACGGTGAAAAAATGTTATTTCTTATCATTCCTTCTTTAATATTCGACTTATAGGCAAAAATTCAGTATCGCTAGTTTTTTGGATCTCGTTTATTCGAGCCTGTTTGTACTTTTTTTTGGATCTTTATCGCTAGTTGACTTTCATTCGTTCAAGGAAGTGTTTGCTTGCATTTGTTTTTGTTTTTATTTTCCAAGGAAGTTTATTTTTGGCTTGTTTATTGATAAGTTTAGCACTAAAAAGGAAATGGTGATACCTCTAAGGTATGATGATACACTACTGGACAATGAAATATCATATTTGAAAAAAGATCGTCACTTTCGCGCGTCTGTAACTCCCTTGTCTATACCGTATTTCTAAATATTAATATTACCATTGTGTAGCCCTTGAAAAGAGCTTTCAGAAAATGTATAACACTAATAGTTTAAACTTAAAGACAAGGGAGTTACAGACGCGCGAAAGTGACGATCGTTTTTCAAATATCATATTTCATTATCCAGTAGTGTACATCTCGATTCTGAAAAGAAATAGTTCGTGAATTTCGTGAATTTCGTGAATTAAGTCTTCATTTACAAGATCATAAACGAATTTGCAACGAATTTGTCCAGTACTGTACCTCTAAGGTATGGTGATGCCTCTAAGGTATGGTGATACCTCTGAGGTATGATGATACCTCTAAGGTATGGTGATACCTCTAAGGTATGGTGATACCTCTAAGGTATGATGATACCTCCAAGGTATGATGATGCCTCTGAGGTATGGTGATGCCTCTGAGGTATGGTGATGCCTCTGAGGTATGGTGATACCTCCAAGGTATGATGATACCTCTAAGGTATGGTGATGCCTCTAAGGTATGATGATACCTAATGTTTATGAGCTTGGGTATGGTCTAAGGTATGATGATACCTCTAAGGTATGATGATACCTAATGTTTATGAGCTTATTCAATCAGTAAACAATCATTTAACAGTACAAGACCAAGGTAATCGACTAAAATGCTACTGTAGCTCTTATATAATACTACTGTAGTCAAAATACTGTAGTTAGTTCTTTAGTTCTTTTCCATTTGGCATTAACTTATCGAAAAACAAGCCGATTATATCATTGAGAATTTCAATTTGCATATAACCATAGTTACAGTACTGTAACTGTAACGTAATCTAAAAAGAGTGACTAAAATTCACCTCTTTTATCTACAACTTTCTCTCTGAATCCGTGCCACAGTACTCTAATCTAAAGAAAGCGTCTAAAACGCAAGTTTATATGCAAATTTCTCACTGATTTGAAATTTGAATTAAATTTAAATGATATTCAAATTCCACAGAGTGATCCGCCCTTGTTTTCTCATTTTGCCGATATCTCTCGAGGCTTTGAATCATTTTAGTCCTCCGGTTAGTTATGTTTTTGTTGTTTATATGAACTTATTCAGCTTTTCAATCAATCACTCACTCCTACAGTCATCCCATTCATCTTCTAAACACTTTTTTCGATCAAACTTCAATTCATTCTCTCCGATTCTTCCCTCACAGCACGTGCACTTCGGTTTTTCGCAAAATTTGACCAAAAACTGTTTTCAAAATTAATCCCACCGGAATTCCTTGAGCAAAAACTATATTTATTCCGTGTTTTGATCAAGCTTTTTATTTCCTGTATGATTATGAATCTTTTTCGGGATAATCCCAGACATTGAATCCCGAGAATATTTGTTCTGTCTGTTCCAATGTACAAAAAGCAACGTGTGTCTCTCTATGGTTTGAAATGGAAATTGGAATTAATTGTGTTCTGGTATTTGAAATAAAAATCAATTGAATTTGAAGAAGAGTACAATTACAAACAAAGACAATATTTCAATATCACTCTTTTCATTGAAGAATGTTATCAGAACTGTGTTTAAATCAAGTCTATCAATCAAGTCTATCAATCAAGTCCATCAATCAAGTCCAAAAGATTTGTAGACAAGCAATGGTATTCTGATTGAAATTTCATCCAAGTTTGTTAACATTATTAAAGTTGCCGATTGTGGACTACTTAATGAATATTATATTCTCTTAATTTCACTAATATTCAAGTAATACAACGGTTTAGCATGGTTTAGAATTTGTTGAAGAATACAGCCAAATTTCAGGCAAAAATCAATCCTAAAATCAATCCCAATCAATCAACCACTAATTTAGATCAAATAATCAAAAGAGAAGGTCATCCCGCACGTTCTTCGTCTTCAAGGTATTCTCACCATTTCTGAACTTGGCAAACCAACGTCGAATTGTGTTTTGAAAAGGAGAGTCATTGTCATAAACGTTTTCAATATTATTCTAGAAGAAGACAAAGAAGACAAAGAAGCTCCTTTTTTGAACTCACCAACAAAGAAGCTCCTTTTTGAACTCACCGACAAAGAAGCTCCTTTTTTGAACTGGTATAACAGAACGTGTCTCAATCTGGTGGAAGATCTGGGGTAGCCTTTCAACCAAAAAAATCAATAAAAAGGTCGAACGAACATTTCAGCGCAAAAGAAAAATTTTCTGAGAGGGGACTGATCAGGCGACCTTTTGAGGCATCAACCGTCCGCGGTGTTCTGTTTACTTAAATAAATATTTAGCAAGTCCAAGCCCTTACCAAGACTTTGTGTTCAACCTAATAATATACATCTTCATGAGTTGATTGATCTCCATGAGTTTCTGCTGCCCCTACGGACCGAAATCCTTGGGATGAATCCAAAAATTCACAGCGGCTCCCTTGCACACCCTAAACGGGCACTTTTTCCAAAAATAAAAGGTTTGCAAGCCTCAGCCGATAAATTTGTATACTGTTCGATAGCCCTGAATCTCCTCTACAAAATAGGGCAAAAAGATTTTGAATTGAATTGATTTTTGAAGGCTTGGGTGAGCTTTAAGTTAAAAGGTCACAAATGATCATTTTCTGGAAAATGTGTTCTGGAAGATTCTGGTAATAGCCTTGCCCGGGGTTTTCTTTAGAAAATACCGTTGATTAAAGTTATATGGAAATAACATAAAAGAACTCTTCTTGTTTGTTTGTCTTCTAGAGCTTCTGTTTTTTCGAAAAAAGCATTTTAGGCGATTTTAAGCCACAAACGGCTATTTCAGGTTTTGATTTTAGGCCAACATCATCTCTGGTATTTTCCAATCCTTGAGCCCGTTTACTCGTTTTGTTTCATGAGTTTCTTGCTGCCCCTGCGGACCGAAATCCTTGGGATGAATCCAAAAATTCACAGCGGCTCCCTTCAGCACCCTTTTACGGGCACTTGGGATCCCATTTCGACCGACGGAGAACCCGCCATGATGGTCAAAATGAGCCGGAACTGGGTTCACCAATTCTACAGCCGAGGTTAGTTTTGGGAAGCGGTGACCACATGGGGCAGACAACGGATTGGTTACCGGATGACCCAAAATGGACGCTTCCGATTTGTGAGATGAAAAGAGAACTATATGAGGAAACATAGGATGCCAGAACGAGCGCGATTGTGCTCGCGCACAGAGAACAACCTGGCGCTCTTCTTTTTTGCCTTTTAAAGTACAAAAACTTCAAATTTTTGAACAGAAAAATTGTACCCGGGGTTTTCGGGGTTGGGGAATCGATTGACAGTGTTAGTTTTGATGCTTTTCTTGTACAAAATCAAAGATTTCAATCCATTTTCCATTGAAGGATGCTGCTAACTTCTCAAGCAATATCTCGTCTCTTCTTTGTAGCTTATGTTTTCCAATTTAAACTTTTTCAAACACGTCTTGAAAACTTTTAAACAGCAGCTTTTTTAAGAGCTCTTTTTGTGAATTGAGTTCCTCAAATCTTTAAGTACATAACTACGTTTTGCAAGTTATGGAAAAGGTAGGTCTTCTGATTCTGATTCATGCATCGAATGATTGCTGGCATTTGATCAGCCGATCATGAAAACAGATCTTCTATCAGGTGGTGTAGAAAAACTATCTATAAAGTTGGCTTCAAAGAGTTTAAGCGTTCTTTCTCGGCATTCACATCAAGTTTTCCTTGACCTGATTTTCCGTTTTTCCTCATTTCAATCGATTTCATCAATTCCCATTTTCAGAGGGAATCTCGCGATCAGGGATACTCCAAAAAGCCAGAAAAGCCAATAAGCCAGGCCAGGGCCCAAAACCCTAAACGTGTGTCCGTGTGTCTTTTGCAAGTTGCCATTAATAAAAACCATGTAGACCATATGGATTTTTCGGGATGCGACAAACAAATCTATTGCAAAAAAAGCAGCTTCCTTTTTTGTACATTTTACTTTAGCATACATATATCTCGATAAGGGATTTGATAATTTAATTGAACAAGTATTAATTTAAAAGAAAGTTATGCTCTCATAGCTAACTTTTTCAGGGAAACGGGCGTAGATCGCCTATCCGATCAGGTGCTCATGCCTGCTCGAGAGCTCGCACACCATCCGGCAAATTAGGTAGTTCAACTTTTACACAAATTTTCTCTATGTTCTTATACCTGAGTATACAAAATAAATTCTACTCTTCTATAACCAAATTTAATGAGGATCATTTTAAAACCAACCTCAAGTCGATCTGACTACTGGGAGTCGAGTTATAGAGTAAAAAAGAAAAGTTCCTAAACTCTGAGACTCGTCACGGAATTTGGAAGGGTCCCCAAACTCCGAGAATCTTATTTGGAAGGACAAATTTAAGACAAATTTTGTTTTGTTGTTTACTTTCACCCCCTTTATGTATTAGGTTGTAAACTGTAATCTTAATCCTTTTTTAAATCGCTAATATCTCAGCGTCGAATCAGTATATTTGAATGTAATTTTAAATGACATTTTGAATCGCCTATCCGATCAGATGCTATTGCATGCTCATGCCTGCTCGAGAGCTCGCACATCATCCGGCTGTTCAATTTCACCTCCTTTAAGCACTAGGTTGCAAACTGTAATCTTTGTATCTTTGTTTGTAATCTTGATTCTTTCTTAAATTGCTAATATCTCAGCGTAGAATCAGTATATTTGAATGAAATTTTAAATGAATTATTCTCAAGAGCTTAAAAAGCGACCTTAGCGACCTTAGCGACCTTAGCGACCTTAGCGACCAAGTTATAGCAAAAAGACAAAAAAACAGTTTTCGAAAAAACACAAAATGACAATGACAATGTCAATGGAAGATTTTGTAAAAAATACATTACAAATACAGCAATTGTAAGGTGAACGAAAAGAAATACCGTATTCTCTCTAATAGAGGTGCACTCTTTCATAGTAGTGCACTCTCTAATAGTATTGCGGTCCAGGAGGGAGTTCAAAAAATAGTAGTGCGCACTACTATTAGAGAGAATACGGTAATTGTATAAAATAATTGTATAAACAAAAACAAAATAAATCTAGATAGTAACAGTTCGATTTTTCCAAAACTTCTCTATTGCATTTGTCATTGTCTCGCAGTAATCTTTGTGTATTTGTACCTTGGATGATAATGATGATGGCCTTCTGTTTGCTGAAAGTTTTTTTAGCCCATTATTTTAAACTTCAGAAAACCTTCCGACCATTTATTCCGTAAAAAGCACTGCATGATTTTCAGTAAATCCCCGATTGCATAAAGGCTAATGTAGACGAGTCCGATGTACTGATTCATACACTTTTCACAGCAATCTTCGATAGTAAAGTCTTTATTGAGATAGATTTTATTCGGAAAAAATTCCCCCTTATGTTTTTCTGATTCTAGCTCGATCAACAAGCCGGATCGACCTTGAGAAAGCATATGTTGACAAGAATTCCCGGTACCTTTCTTCGATAGTTTATAACTCTTCTGTTTCACTAACATAAAACAGAAACCATACGATGGATGCTCTTTCTTTTTCATTTCAATCAACAAATTTTCAATTAAATATAAATGAGTTTCGAAAGAAATCTTCTCTTTCCATTCATTTAAAATTCGAAAAGCTCTCTCGAATAATGAGTGAGTTTCCAAAAATTCGAGTTGATTCAAATGGGGACATGTTGAGAATTCGATTTGAAGTTCGCTGTTTGAAGCGTTTTCGGGAAATCTCCCGACAGAGCACATTTCTGGGATACAATTGCAAGTGGTTGTTAAAGCATATTTTAGAGTCGATTCCCAAATGAAACCTGGGAACCTTTTACAATACTTCATAGAGGCTATAAAAGCTCTATGCACCATTTGTTCGTAGTCTTTGCCTTTACGTTTTTTCGACACTTCCTTGACGGTGTATCTCTCGAATTTCAATAGATTTTTGATGGTTGTGTTCTCTGTTAGAGTCTCTTTATTCTTCTGATTCCAGGCTTCACAAAGAGCATACTGTAATTCGATCTCTTTAAAGACGGGATCTCCCGAAAAATCTTGCTTTTTGCACGACTTGCATCTACGCTTTTCATTGAAAGGTAAATGATTAATAAAATAGATATATCCAGGGAATCGGCTTTGATTTCCGATTAATAATGCTTGCAAAATCATTTCGAATTCCGAAGCGAGTAGATATGTGGATATCGACACCATGGCTCATCACGCAGAGCAAGTAAAGTCGATCGAGTCGCCTCTCACACTCGTTTCAAACGAGTCGTTATTCTCCCCTACTCATGAACGTCCTAGAGGTAGGGCTCTTAAGCTAAACCTTCAGTGTTTTTTAGGCCAGGTTCAAGCTGAAAGGGTAAGACGGCTTTTCGAAAAGAAAACACCTTTCTTTCCGAACACATGTTCAATCAAAAGCGAAAATCTGCAAGAGCAGATTTTGCAAACACTCGTACAACGGCTTTATAACTTGCATTTTATTTTCAAAGAAATGAAACTTACTAAACTCACTTTTCTTTTTATGCAAAGCTCTCCGAATCATTTCAAGATCAATTGTATGTAGAGAGACTCTTTCACTTTTTCCGCCAGGAATCTCTTTTCGAATCTCTTGAAGGTCTTTTGTGAAATAAAAATCGCGTCCTTCCACCACGTCATTCGTGATTCACTATAATAAAAAATTGGATATTGACGTCGAATTGTGAAAGCGTTTTCGAGTTCCTCGATATTATAAATGGAAATATTCAATAAATCCGATAATTCCATTAACGAGACATATTTCGATTCGCATTTCCATAAAACGTACAACGAGAACTCGTAGCAAAAATCTTGTATAACAAAATCACAATAGAGAAGTTCAGTGTATCGTTGGATCGCTGCTTGAATGACTTTTTCAATTTTTCTTTTCTTTGTATAATCATAAATGTAAGGTCCAATAAGGGAAGCCTCTATTCGATTTTGTGCTCCATTGTGAATCTCTTTTATATGAGAAAAAAGTTGTTGTTTCTCTACCATTGAAAGACTATTGATTTCCTCCAAAAATCTTTCTCTTCTCCTCTCACAAATCACATTCACATCAATAACTTCTCCTTGATCAAAGCACAAATCAATTGGTTCGGGAAGAGCGCACAAGCTGCTGAAATAGTAAGCTGCCGAGCGCGTCTTCAATGTGTTCCCGTTTTCGTCCCCCATAGCTGCAATATTTTTAAATTTCGTTTTTCTTTCAGCTTTCGAAATCCATTCATTGAATTGATTTAGAAATAAAGAGATAGCACGCGGCTCGTTTGTAGAATGTTCTATTGTTTTTCGATTGCTCATTTTAGATGCCAGTTCAGGAACGTGGTATGTTGAGTATATTGTTGTCTCGATACACAAACCGTCGGGTATCATTAGATGTTTCTGATTTCTATTGCGATATGGTTTTTCAATGAAATTGGTAAAGCGCTAAATGACAATTTGGTTAATTTTATCTCCTAAAATAACTTCAATCAACAGTTTTGTTTCTCTCATAGCTTCTTCCACCGTTGCTCGTTTTTTGATGGAAATGTTTGGAGATGAACAACTGAAATGGGAAAATAAAGCTTTTGATTTATGATCTGCAGAATTAATGTAGGTAATTCTGTATAATTATTTTGTGTTTTTTTATTTGCCATTTTTAGGTTAAAAATGTCTGATCTCGTTATGAAATAGCTTTGATCTCTTTCTCTCTTTGATCTCTAACGCCTCCGCCCCGCTCTCCCCTCTGCTCGATAGCGGCCACAAGAATTGACTGGCTCATTTATTCCAATACATTTCATGTTGCTATAGTGCCTATAGATCCTTGGAGGCGAGCAAATCGAGTCCCCAAATTTTTTTCTTCAAATCAACAAACTTGATGGGGCAAAAATTAAGTTAGAATAGAAGATTAAGAAAAATAAAAAAATCTTTTTGAAATCTGCCTATCCAATTTTTCAGGGCGCTGACCTCCGAGTTTGATCTTGGTTTAAAATCAAATTAATTAAAACCACGTCATTTTGTATTTCATTGACACTGAGAAATTGGATAGACAGATTTCAAAAGATTTTAAACCAATATCAAACTCGGAGGTTAGCGCAATTCCTGTGGCCGCTATCGAGCAGATGGGAGAGCGTTTTACTATGGAAAATAATACAGTTAGGGATGATGAACAACTTGAAGGTCTACGAGGAACAACCAAGAAGGACTCCAGGAAACCAAAAAAAAATACTCAAAACTCTTCAGTTGGATTCAGATGTTATTCCTGGAGAAAAGGAGAAACAACTAAGTTCATTCTGTGTCCTGATGTGGCCTGGAATCAGCCTTTCAAGGCTCATATTCGGCAGTGCAATGAAGATTAGATGCTCTTGGATACGCCAGACCTCACGAAAGCACGAAAGAAAGAAATTCGAAGCCACCATCGATGGATCACTACTTGGGATGGATTTCCGATGCGTGGGATAAACTTTTTCTTCAGTTAATCGCCAAGTTGTTTAAAGCATGTGGAATTTCAATTGCCCTGGATGGATCCGAAGATCACCTCATCGAATGCTTTAAGCCAGAAGGAGCAATTCCAACAGGTTGCTTGGGTAGCTTTGTTGCAATTTATTTGTTTCTGTTTTTAGGACTTGCCAAATTGTGGAATGCTCGTTTGAATCAAGAAATCGCCAAATTGTTCCAAGGATTAGATACACGTACCGATGCGTGTAGTACCGACGTACCGACGCGTGTAGTACCGACGTACCGATGCGTGTAGTACTGACGTACCGATGCGTGTAGTACCGACGTACCGACGCAGCTGAGCATCAAGATGAGAAAAGTGTTGACTTGAATCATTTCGATTTTGATTTTCCGTTAGACGTTCTGATTTGTTAAAATTAGTGTTTTTAATAAAATGCTTATTGAATGAAATGCACCTTTTTTGAAATGGATACTATTTTTTGTGGTCATTCGAGTGAAAAATAGAAAGACAGTGGCCATTCGAGTGAAAAATAGAACGACACTCTCCAATAGAGTGACATCCTCTAATAGAACGACACCCTAGGAGGGTAATGAAAAAATAGAACCACCTGTCGTTCTAATACAACATTTACGGTATGTGCTCTCTCTTGGGCAATGCACAACACAAACTTACTAACCGTTGAATCAGATCTAAAAGCTGTCGAACATCGGTCGAGGTTGTTGACGGGAATTGAAGAGTGGAAAGCGATGAGCTTGAAAGGGTGTCTCTCGTCACAATCTCCCACAACACCAGACCGCTCGCATAAATATCACATTGATAGATGTCCTGAATATATAGAATACAACATGTCTAATCTCTAAACATCTCTAAACATGTCTAACAAGAGAAGCTATGTCGTAATCTCGTGGACGAAATACAATATCAATTTACCTCTTCAGTCAGCTTTGTGATATCGCCATTTAGTTCGGGAGCCATATAAAATCTCGTTCCAATCTCTTCAATTCTCATTTCTTTTCCATTCTCAAATCTCGTAAAAACTCCAAAATCACCCAGTTTCAGTTCGAAGTCCCGTGTCACAAAAATACTATAATTTTATTACTGTATACTGGTAGTTTATTCGTTCCTAGGTGTAAACGGATATGGACTAGAATTTGGGTTAAGTTAAAGAGAGTGGATCCCTTTTGATAGCCTGCCATCCTGCCATGATACCCCGACAACCCAACTCAACTCCTCCAAGAGAGTAGAGTAGTAGTATTAGAGAGGAGTCCCTGGGAAATGACCGACCTGAACTGCAGTTGCATAGGCCCGGAAGTATCTTTGTATCTCTATTTATGTATCTTTATTTACAGTAATACAATAAGACGAATAGATTACAAATGAGTGAAAGGGGCACTCCAAGTGAGAGCCTCACTTGTCCTCCTAGGCAATCCCAAGGACTCTAGGCAGTCACTCCTAGGCAATCCCAAGGACTCTAGGCAATCACTCCTAGGCAATCCCAAGGACTCTAGGCAATCACTCCTAGGCAATCCCAAGGACTCTAGGCAGTCACTTCTAGGCAATCCCTCCTAGGAAATCACTCCTAGACAATTCCCTTCTCGGCGATGAAAGGGATAAGCACAGGGGAGAACACATTTACATAAGACTAGACAAATCATTCAATAATAATAATAGTAACTAAAATATCAGTTTGGCTCGGAGCTGACAAGTTATTAGTTTATTATTTATCAGTTCATGCATCTTGTGTTAGCAATTCTTTATCATATTGCCCTATTTATTTCCACTCACTTTCCCGGCTTCACATCTCGATGTGCAATTCGTTCCCCTTTTAAATAAATCAAAGCATTGAATATTTCCTTTGCCCATTTTATAATTGTTGACACCGAATAATTGAGAGTCACATCAGCGATCACTAAAAAAATCAATAAATCATTCAAGTGTTTTTCAATAGACTAATAAATCGCCTCAATCACCATCCCAATAGACAAGGATCCTGGTAACGTTTTCCCAATGACGATGGAATGGATGGAAAGAGATGGAATGGATGGAAAGAGAGGGAAACGGTCACCCCTTCCCGTCCCAGTTCATCCCAACAGGACTCATGTCTCTCCATTACCATTTCTCAGCGATCCCTCTTCACAATATTCCATAAAAATTGGAAATTTCTCTCCATTGTAGTCGAAATCGATTGGTTGATCGATATATCGAACTATATTTTCATGAACCAATTCTTTCAAAATTTTCATTTCATTTGATTGATCGACAAGATTTGAACTGTAGTTGACTTCCTTCATGGCAATCGGTCTAAAATATGAACTAAAAGACATATTAAAAAGACAGTTTACTTTAATAGCCCGTCTACTATTGAATGAATTGAAAACTGCGGGACTTTGAACTAAAATTTATTCAACATACAACCATAAATTCATTCCAAATAATTTCCATTATTATTGACGACTTCTGCCCATTTTAAAGGCAATTTGTGGATTCCTCTTTCGTAGTAGGATTTTGGTTTGTGTGTGAGACAAGTGTGAGACTCAAAATGGAAGACTGGACTTTGAGAATGGAGGACTGGACTTTGAGAATGGAGGACTGGACTTTGAGAATGGAGGACTGGACTTTGAGAATGGAGGACTGGACTTTGAGAATGGAGGACTAGACTTTGGGAATGGAGGACTAGACTTTGGAAATGGAGGACTGGACTTTGAGAATGGAGGACTGGACTTTGAGAATGGAGGACTGGACTTTGAGAATGGAGGACTAGACTTTGAGAATGGAGGACTAGACTTTGGGAATGGAGGACTAGACTTTGGAAATGGAGGACTGGACTTTGAGAATGGAGGACTGGACTCCCAGTTTGAGCACTTTCTTCAAAAGAAACTCACTTTGGTGTCAATAGAAAAGTTGTAGAGAATCAAAAGTTAGGCTTATAGCCAAATTTCCAAAAAGATACACGTAGTAGTTTCGCTTCAAATGCAAGTTTTGTGAAAATTCGTCAATATGGCATTTCTTGAAAATCAGTTTTTGAATCGTTCTGAAAATTTGGATATGAGTTTAATTTTTTGATTCTCTACAACTTTTCCATTGACACCACAATGGGTTTCTTCTGAAGAAAGTGCTCAAACTGTCACATATGACAATAGCCTGCAGTTTTCAATTCATCAATTCAATATCTAGAAATCGAGAAACTCTCAATTGTAGAACATTTTATTGATGGGTTAGGATGAGTGTTAGAGGTGTGAAATTGTTCAAATTCATGCTGTTTGAGTCTCATTTGGAAAAAGGGTTTTAACAATCAAAATGAGAATAAAGAAAAATAGCAATAAATCACATACGGTTCATAATTCTCCAATCGGAAAGCATTTCCATAAGATCCACCTCCAATTGGAATCATCTGTGGGGATTTTCTTTCGTCTAAATAAAAGGTGACCAGAAAATACGTGAAATTTTTGTGCAACGGTCATTCGAAACTTGTGCTAAAGTTATTTTCCATAGGTTCAAAAGCTATATTAATTGAAAACAACTTATTAAAAAACATTCTTTACGATAAAAAAATGTCAATAGAAGTCATTAACTTTGCAATCAAACAAAAAAAAAACATTTATTTCGCAGGCTCTTGTTGCTCGTCGACCCTTTTCATAGTTGAAGTCAGAAAAATTTTTACAAAAGTTCTTTTATGGAAAAATGAATACTGTTTTGGAGAGTTAAGATTTTTCTATTAGGTTGGAAAGAAAGAAAGAAAGTACAAATCGACTCCAAGAAATCCTTTTGACAGAACTTTAACCTTTTAGTCGGAATCAGCGTGGAAAACTGCATCAGATAGGCTCATCAGCTCATCGGATTTCCCGAGTCAAAAGCTACGCTAAGTTAACAACATTCCCTAGTGAGAAACTTTAAATAACAACAAATTTTAAAGGATCGATTCTCACCTCTATCCACTTCTCGTTCCTCCTCTTCAATTTCCCCATCCAAATTCTCATTTCCCTCTCGAAATCTTTCAAACCATTTCATGCATTCGGAAAAAGCAATCACATTATCACCAAATGCTTTACAAATGTCAGAATGAGATTCGAAAGGTTTTTTGTCGAGTTTGAAGTCATAGAGAAGAGCAAAACGAATACATTTATGGTCCATCAGTTTTTAAGAAAGTAAAAGTGAGATTGGAGAATGAAATGAAGGGAATGAATGAAGGGGAATGGAAGTGAAATTAGAATTGAAACACGAGGGAAAGCTCTTCTTTTTACGTATCGATTTGGTGATTCGAGATAAGGCGGCTCTCACTATTTGTTTCCTTGCCCAAGAATAACTGGTGATGGATTTGTTTGTTGGAAAAGTTGATTTTCAACCCAAAAGGTTTACTGTCTAAATGCATTTTTCAGAAGTGATGACAAGCTTGATGACGACTTCAAATAAATATTAAAAACTTTAACTACTTTAACAAACAATTGAAGCTCATGAGTTTGAAGCTAGCGTACTTTCAAGAGAGGCTCTTCAAATAGAGAAACACTATAACAATCTGTCGAGGTTTTTAGTTTTAATGACATAAAGAAACACTAGACAATGCGTACATAGCTGTAATTGAAAGTACTTACATTTACTGTTTAGGTGAAAGTATGTAAGATTTGAGAAAATCGATTCACGAAAAGAGCTTTTGGAAAAGCTGTTGTTTAGGTTTTCTGCTGAAAAGCTTTTCAAGAGGGGTTTAAAAAAGTTTAAATTGGAAAGCATAAGCTACAAAGAAGAGATGAGATATTGCTTGAGAATTTAGAACCATCCTTCGATGGGAAGTGTATTGAAATCATTGATTTCAGATTGATTTTCTACAAGAAAAACATTAAAACTAATACTGTCAATCGATTCCCCAACCCCGAAAACCCCCGGTACAATTTTTCTGTTCAAAAATTTGAAGTTTTTGTACTTTAAAATGCAAAAAAAGAAGATAGGGTGTGTTCCCTATGTGCGAGCACAATCGCGCTCGTTATAGCATCCTATGTTTCCAGATATGTTTCCTTTTCATCTCCCAAATCGGAAGCGTCCATTTTGGGTCATCCGGTAGCCAATCCGTTGTCTGCCCCATGTGGTCACCACTTCCCAAAACTAACCACGGCTGTAGAACTGGTCAACCCAGTTCCGGCTCATTTTGACCATTATGGCGGGTTCTCCGTCGGTCGAAATGGGATCCCAAGTGCCCGTAAAAGGGTGCTGAAGGGAGCCGCTGTGAATTTTTGGATTCATCCCAAGGATTTCGGTCCGTAGGGGCAGCAAAAGTCATGGAGATCAATCAACTCATGAAGATATAAATTATTAGGTTGAACACAAAGTCTTGGTAAGGGTTTGGACTTGCGAAATATTGATTTAAGTAAACAGAACACCGCGGACCGTTGATGTTCAAAAGGTAGCCTGATCAGTCCCCTCTCAGAAAGTTTTTCTTTTGCGCTGAAATGTTCGTTCGACCTTTTTTTATTGATTTTTTTATTCAAAGGCTAACCCAAATCTTCCACCAGGACATCTGAGACGCGTTCTGTTATACCAATTCAAAAAGGATCTTCGTTGTTCGATGTTCCCAGAAAAATCTCGAAAACGTTTATGGTCAAGAAGCTCCTCCTCAAAACACAATTCAGTTCGCCAAGTCCAGAAATTGGCAATTCCTTTCAAGACGAAGAACGTGCGCGGAGGCTCATTCAATCGAAAAAATAAATAAATTCTTTAAAAAAATTCATCAAAAAAAATCGGGTTTCTTCACGTGAAATTGCAGATGCAACTGGCTTCTCACAAACAGCAATCATTAATCATTTGCATGAATTGGCTTTTAAACCGATTTAAACCGACCGAACTGTCAATGGATACCACATTTCCTTACCGACTCAATGAAAGGACAGAGATCTTCTGTTGCCCCGTCCCGCTTTTCCAGACAGCGGAAATCTTTTTGTCTCGCCTCGTGACAGGAGGTGAAAAGTGGAGCTTTATTGATTGACTTTAGATTCTGGAGTCTCTTGATTCCAAGCTGGATACATGATTGCGAAAAAAAACACTTTTAAGTTGTTTTAAATTAAAAACATGGGGCTAGAGTTGTTGGGTTGGGGGGCAGGCTGGAATTTGACCCAAAATCAATACTTTTCCACGATTTTGCCAGTAAGGAAATTGTCAGTAAGGAAAAGGAAAGGAAGCAGCTTATCCGCCATATAGTCCAGACTTAAAACCATCTGATTTTCAATAAAGTGTTTGATTTGCCAAATTCTGATTACTGTATAAACTTTATTAATGTAATACAAACCATTCTTTAATTTGTGTTCTTTTGTGAACGAAATGAGAAAATTAAAACATCCAATTCATTCGAGCAAACAGCAAAGATTCAAAGAAAGCAAAAAGAATGAAGAAAAATATACGCAAAATGATTGTCACGTACCCGAAACGCAAAAAATGTAACTGAAATGTGTAGGAGTAATGAAGAAAATAGGCTCAAAATATATTAGAATTGCAAAAGGAAATGAGATACTTGTTGAACCATTGAAAAGGGTGAAGAAAAACACGACAATACTAATTTGAAAAATACTCAAGCACCGAATTGAATGGGAGTTTCTGGATTGAGAAATATTTTGAGGAGAATTTAAAGCTGATAAAGATGACTTTTCTTTCAGATAGACTTTCACTGAAGACTTTCGTTTTGTGCTCAAGAATGGAAACAAAACTGGTGCAAACAGTGCTTTAGCATCATTCAACTGGCCCTCAGGGACCAGGTCAGGCTGACCTGAACCTGACTTGGTCCAAGCCAGATCAGGCTTGAACCTGACCTGGTCCAAGCTAGATCAGGTCCAACCAGGTCAGGCTTGGACCTGACCTGATCCAAGACCTGACCTGACCTGGCCAAGCCAGGTCAGGTCCAGGCCAGGTTCAAGTCAATTCCGGACCGGGAGACAGGGAATCCCAGAGAGAGACTCTTGGTGAGTCATATCACCGCCGCTGTTATAAGCTTCTTGGAAGGCAGGCTTTCCTGTGCGTCCATAGCTCAGTGGTAGAGCTTTTGCCCGGCCTTTCCGGCCGGAGCAAACGAGCAACTGAGCAAATGGACCTCCGGGGTTCGATCTCCCGGTGAGCATCCCTTACAAGCTAGACCAGTCGTGCCAGTTCGATCCCTCGGTGAGCATAGAGGCACGACTGGTCTATCCTGTAAGGGATGCTCACTGGGGGATCGAACCCCGGAGGTCCGTTTGCTTTCCGGCCGGGCAAATGAGCTATGGGCGCACAGGAGGGCCCTTTACAGGAGTGGCTTCTTGTGAAGCACACCTGCCTGGGACAGGGCTTCTCTTGTTCTTGGTCTGTGTTTTTCTTGTGCTGTTCTTGGCTTGGTCTTGGTTCAAGAACGATGATTTTAGTCCAAAACAAGTCTATTTCTTTTGTCCCCTGAGTCCAAAACCAAAACAAAAGAAAAAAGATTTCCATAAAGAAAACCGTCCAAAAACTAATAAATGCATTTCATGTGCCAGACTGCTTGTGTTTCCATTCTTTAGCATGAAAAACGCTTATCAATGAACCCATGAAAGTCTCTAAATGAAAAGAATAATCGGTAATTTCTTGAAAATCTTAATCCCGATTTACTATAGGAAAATAAAATTTTATGCTTTTAAGAGTCGCTGAGAAAGGTGATGGCTTTTCAATCAAACAATACTAGTCGCAAAATCGTTAGTGTTATTGGGAGCTGGTGCAGGAACACGCGGTGTTTCTTGTGAACCATTAGAAGAGGAAAGGGAAAAATTCGCCGAGTCATCTTGTCGAGGTGGCGGAACAGCTTTCACACTCCTCAACGTGCCCGAGTTAACCGCGGATAAAATCGGAACTCTTTTTTGCAGCGTTCGATCAGCGTAGATTCCCTCATCACCAATATTTCCATAAAGTGCGGATCGGTGATTTGTTGAGTAGAGTGATGGAGAGCCGGGAGTGGGTGTGTGCTGATTCGAATAGTTAGTGGTTGAGCCTAGAAATGATTGGTTAAGCAAGGATGAGCTGCGCTTGGGAAAGATTTGCTCATGGGGAACTTTAATGTTACGAATGACTAGGTTTTGCAGGGTTTGCAAGGTTTGAAGCTTTTCAAGGTTTTGCAAGCTTTTCAAGCTTTTGCAAGCCTTGCAAGCTTCTCAAGCTTTGCCAGCTTTGCAAGCTTTGCAAGCTTTTGCAGGCTTTTGCAAGCTTTTCAAGCTTTTGCTAGCTTTTCAAGCTTTTCTAGCTTTGCCAGCTTTTCAAGCTTTTGGACTTTTAACTTCTTCTTTGTAACCTGTCTAGTTTGCACACAGAACATGCCTTGTATTCAAAATATTCTACTAATTATTCTACTTCTGGCTACACCTTTCGTTAATTGACTAACACAAATCTCGAAGATCTAGAAGAATCTTGTTTGAATTGCTCAAATCCATTTTCAACAATTCAGGAAGTTCTATTCTACTAGAGGGGTAGCATTTTAACAAAACCTTGATTTGATTTGTCATTGGATTTGTTAAACTATCAATTTTTGAGCATCAAAGTTTTCATTTCATGTTTAATAATGGTCCTTTGCTCAGCTCAGCTGCTCAGCTTACCTATGAAGCTGTTATTCCCACGACTTATCTTTAAATTTTTCCTATTCGATTAGCATCAAATAACAATTTCTAATTGCAATTTGACTTTATCTTTTCGTGGCTCTACCAGTCAAATTTAGGTATTTATTCAATTCAAATTTAGTCAATGAATAAGCAAAGGAGAAAGAAATCAACCTTGAGAAGTGAGAGTCGATGTCGGAGTGAAGCATTGATTGTCTTGTTGTGAGCTTGACGCAGAGATCGTTCCCGCTTGACTACTCGACGCAGATGACTGAAAAAGTTTATTAGTTTAAGCGAGGATGGGGGTTTGGTAAAAACGAAACTAGCAAGCTATCAATCTTTGGCATTTCCAATTTTAGATTAGGCTTTGAGGTGCACTTGAGTTGAAAGGCGCCCTTTCTGGTGCATCAAAGTAGAATTTCCATACAGAAATTACCTATCCAGCATGCCAGAAAGGATGGGTTTACACCCCTGAGCACAAAGTCTACCAATATAGAGTAAATTTGTAACGAAAACATCTGTCAGTCCTTTTTTGCCATTGGCAATTTAAAGTTTTTTGTGCTTTTCTCAGCAACAACTCTTTAATTTTGGCTATTTTGATTATTATTCAATGCAGAATAAAATTCCGCGTCGAATGACACCAAAAACAACTCAAAATGTAATATTTATGCAGAGTTATGAGGCGAAAGGTTGAGTCCCGCCCATAATGGGCGGGGTTTAGGTTTTTAGCCAACAACTTTGCTTGGATATTATATTTTGAGTTGTTTTTGGTGTCATTCGACGCGGAATCTTATTCTGCATCAAATGATAGTCAAAATAGTCAAAATCAAAGGGTTAGTGCTGAGAAAAACACAAAAAACTTCAAAATACGGCAAACCGACAAATGTTTTTGTTAAAAGCCTACTAGACGAGTCTTGTTCAGAAGAAGCCAGGGCTGGATCTGGTCCGGAATTGGCTTGTACCTGGCCTCCAATCTAGAGTCACTTGTTTAAAATCTCAGCCTAAGATTGATAAATTGCCAAGTTCACTCAAAAATTAATAAAACTCCAGTGTTAATATTTTTAAAGTCTTTCACACAGGTTTTCAAATTGTTAGTTTGTCAAATCAAACATGGAATAAAGCAACATATAAAGGGGACATTTAGACAAAATCTCTTTTTCATTCATTTCAAACATTTCAAACATTTCAATCGACTCTAACCTCGTCTAGTCATATGTAAACGAAGTTGTTTGGATCAAGTTTTGTGGGCTAAATGGAATTAAAAAGTTGTTTGGATCAAGTTTTGTGGGCTAAATGAAATTACAATTGTCATATTTCATTTGGGGATAAATTGATCACTTATTCTTTTGTAAATTATGTAAAACACTTCATAAATGTATAATCCTCCCCGTTGGACTATACAAAAAGTGCTTAGCTTGATCGTTTTCTGGACTCAAATTCACTAAAGACAAAGAGTGACCGATTGAACTATGCCTTGTCGTTGGAATTGTCACGTACATCGAGTTTCTGTGCCCCGAGTTTCTGTGCCCCAAATTTCTATGCGCAATTTGACGTTGCAAGCTAGAGGTCGAATATTGAGAGGCTCTGGGTGGAGGCAAGATCACGTCACCGCTTGAATCTTTTAACGGCGATGGACTGATCGGGTACTCTTCGATAAAATCCATGAGCACTGGAGAATGGAGATCGAAGGAGCTTTGCGAGACACGAACTGGCGGAACAACTACCTTGTTGGTTTGCCCAGAGCCATTCCAGAGAAGTTGTTGCGGTTGACCGGGAGCCGCTCGCTGGGATGATGAGGCGTTCCATTGAGGTGGCACCGTTCCATAGATACCGCTCATCGACTAAACTCGATTCAAGTCTAACTGTCAACTTTTTGTATTCTACATAGCTGTTCCATTGCCATTCCAACTTTGAGCTCAAATATCTTTGTGCTGAGCTGTCCAATTCCCATATTCTTGGCATCATTAGATGCGCCAAGACTTTCTCTGTCGATTGGTACAAAAAATATTTAAATTGGACAGTCTAACACCAAGGTATTTGAGCTCAAAGTTAGAATGCCTATGGCAAAAGAGGCGGGTCCGTATCAAAGGTTCGATAGCCCTAATATTAGGCTGTCCAGAAAGTCTTTTTGTTCCTTTACGTACTTTCGTTGAAAAATCACAAATTCACCAATGAAACCTATGGTTTTCTCTAGATGAAAAGTGTTTATTGTTCAATTGTTCAATTTCCATCTTTTTAAGTTCCATAAAAACCTCTACGAAGAAATCGGCTGAAGCAATTTCTTTAAAAATTTGGCTATCTACCCAACAGATAAAAGATAGAGCACAAAACTTTTTGTGCTCTATCTGTTATCTATTGACACTAAGATAGGTTTCCTTAGCTAAAGTGTCCGCATCGTTAAGCTGTCGCCATTTTTGACTATCCGACTTCACGCTCCCAAAAAAATCCAGACATAAGACATTTTAAACCCGTTTTAATGTTATTTTGCAGGAAAATAAGTGACCTTTCTAATGAAACAAATCATAGTTGGACCCTAAAACCCCCTTGACCACTTGACCCCCAGCCCCATTTGAGGTATTTAGTAATATATCAAAGATAGCCCTTAATGTCTTCTTCTTTTGATATATTAAACAAAACCCAAATGGGCGGAAGCGCAAGGCAAGGGGAAGGCGGTTTTTTGTTGTGGGTTTTAAACGGAACTACGAAGAGAAACGAAAAGATTTTCTGGATAGCCTATAGGGTGGCCATCATCGCCTCACAGTTTTTTTGGCTATATCTTGGCTATAGCTTCGCGAACTGGTTTCATTTCTTTTTAATATGAAAATGGCGATAATTTTCTACCAAGAATTTCTTTATACAAATTGTAGAATGGTTTTGTGATTTTTATTAAAGGCTTGGAAGATGGGCCCAAAAAAACCCTTCGCACGCAACATTATTCAAGCTCTTTCTTGTTCATTTTCAAACTGAGATCAGTTTTTACGCTTTTTTTGATAAATTTAAGCTTTAAGAGTAAGATTTGGGTAATTCTTTAAGTTAACTCTGAGATTAACCGATGAAATTTCAAGAAAAATTCATCTTCATCTTCATCCAGAGCTCTAAAAAACCATATATTTGAAGGTTTTTGTTGAAAAACATTTCTTTTAAGCTTTTTAATTAGAAAAATCATCGGGTCAAATAAATCATGTGAGAGGACTTAAAACCTTTTCATGAAACGCTGCAGATTGAGTTGCGTGCCAAGGATGATGCTTGCCAAAGCTTGGAAGATGCACCCAACTTTTGGACGCAACTTCCAAGGGTTTCAAAAGCTTTTTGGGCTAAGCCTTTAACAAAAATCTCAAATCCCAATTTGTATAAAGAAATTCTCGGCAGAAAATTATCGTAATTTTCAAATTAAAAAGGAATTAAACCGGTTCGCAAAGCTAGAACCAAGATATAGCCGAAAAACTGCGGATAGTTTGCGGCCAGCCTGTAATACTTGTTTAACCAATTTACCCCTTTATTCTCAGTCGAGTTGAAAGAGCTCATCTTAACGCCAGCTGTTCTTTGATATGGAGACGGATCTCTGGCTCCAGGTCGACCCTCTTGGCCTAATAAAGGGCTCTGTCGAACGGCTGACACCGAAGCTCCTTGACCGTCGGAGGGTTGCCGTTGTAAAAGCTGAAAGGGAAAAGTTTATGCGTGGAAAACTACTGGACAATGAAAAATCATATTTGAAAAAAGATCGTCACTTTCGCGCCTCTGTAACCCCCTTGTCTTTACCGTATTTCTAAATATTAATATTACCATTGTGTAGTCCTGGAAAAGAGCTTTCAGAAAATGTATAACACTAATAGTTTAAACTTAAAAACAAGGGAGTTACAGACGCGCGAAAGTGATGATCTTTTTTCAAATATGATATTTCATTGTCCAGTACTGTAGTTGTAGTTAAAATTTACCTGTTGTTGCATTCCTGTCGCATACTGTCCATTTCCATTCACCCGCATCGAGGTGCTCATCGGACCGTTCGGCGGGACAGCAATTCGGGCCTAAACGAATCCTTATTGAGCCCAATTCGATCATTCTACCTGATTCCCAACTCTTCCATAAGTCCCATATTGACCGTACTGTCCATATTGCTCATCCTGACTGCCTCTTCTCTGTGGAAACATCACCTCTCCTTTACCCTTATGGATCGAGGCATAGGCTTCTTGCTGCTAAATGGCTTAGGCTTAGGCTTAGCTGGATCGTTTAGTTACTGTAGAATGAATTTGTCATTAAGTGACTGAACTGGCTGACTGGATTAAGCTAAAAAGCTAAGGAATTTGTTAAAAACTCACCGTATTCCATCCTTGCGCCGATCTCTGCATGTTTGAGGTACTTGCGGGTACGCGTTGAAGAGTCGACGTGTAGTAGCCGGTTTGTTGATTTCTGGGCAGTGTTCCATATCGTCCATCAGGTGGACTACTGTTCCCACGGAATTGAATGGGTTGTGGTTGGGCTTGGGTAAGGCGCGAGATCTGGAATATGAATAAAGTATGAATAAAGTGTGATAGAAAGTTCTACAGGGTCACCAGAAGGGTGGAATGATTTTGTGAAGCGAAAAAGTGCTGAATTTTTCTCTCTAACTCAGAAAAAGAGAAAGAGTATGAGGAACTAGGCAAGTTTTAGATATTTTCAAAATAGTAGCTAACGATTTGTTGTAGCTAACAATAGCTAGTGGGGGATTTGAGTGTTGAGCTTCTGCAAAAGCTTGGAAACCGTAAAATAGTCATCAACTCGGTGTGCTGGGGTGCGGGGTATTAGAGAGAATACGTTAACAGAAATTGATCTTTCTTTGGCATAGAAAGTTAGTGCCAATTCCCATCAAAAAAATTGCCAATCGTCAATTTTGCTTACTCGCCTTTGCGCTCCTAAAAAACCCCAAAAACAAAAGCTTTTCGAAATCGCTAACAACCATTTTATAGAAGAGATTTAAAGCTTTCCAATGGTGCAAACTGGATTTCCTTTGGTGCAAACTGTACTTCATTTGGTTCATTGTAAAACCAATTTTTAGTGAAAGAGTCTGGTTATCTGGCTATTTAGTTGAAAATACAAGTTCCAAACCTGTGAATTATCATCCGAAGGCTTCCTTCCAGCTAATAATCTCGTCATCTCCGGTGTTTGCTGGATTCGCTCTTCCATCGGGATTTTTCTGAAGAAAGTGAGTTGTAAATACTATCTAGGTATTCTTTAGATATTTTAGATTGATCCAGGTCTTCTATATTTGATTCGATCTTCAATATTCGATTCGATCTTCAATCTTTACCTCATTCCCGGACTCTGATGTCCTCCATTCGCCCGCTGCCAATAAGCCGTCTCATCCGTAACCAATTCGCCTCCACGTTGACAAGCTCTGAGCAAAGATTGCTTTGTCGCGTGATCATCGGTTACAAACATCTAAATACTGAAATTGTTACGTCATTCCCTTCATCCAACCGTATCCCGATGCATGACGATCACGGCGTTCTTCAACTTTGACGGGTTCTCGTTGCTTCGAACTGGGCCAGCAGTCATACCTTTCTGAAAGCAATTCTGAGCTAATCTTGTTTAAGTATTTTAATCTTGTTTAAAGCAAGAGCTAATCAAAGAACAAGTCCAGAGTCTAATCTTACAACTCCAATCAGCAACGAGTCAATTTTACGCTTACCTGTAGAGCATAAACTTGATGAACATAATGCGACACATCGAAATCCCATTCTCTTTTAATTGTCAACATTAACCAAAGGAGGATTAACGTGAACATGTAGACAACATCAACTACGAGAATTGAAAGAAGAATCGGACGATCGTCGTGCTGAAATTTTGATTAGTAATTAGCATTAGCAAACTTGTTTGATTTATCGGGTTCTTGTGTATACAGGGTGCGCCAAAAGTTCCCCTACTTGTATTTTCTGCATTTTTGATAATTTTAGATAAACGATATGATTCTAAAAGTAAGAAATTCGAATTCCTCGCAAAAAACTGATTTAGAAAAGGTTTCTGGTTAATTTATAAGGCATCGAGTTAGAGTCGAGTCGAGTTAAAAGCCAAGTTTCCAGTTTCCATAATTGCGCGGCCACCCTGTAGATTCAATAACGGACGAAATTCAATAATTCAATAACAAACGTAACATATATATTATGGATTATGATTTTGGAACTGAATCTTAGCGTTAGCATTATGAACATTAGCAGCTACCTGCCAGATTTGCACGAATGCGTAAACGTATGGCGACTTTGCGGCAATGATCAACACCAGCATGAAGATCGTGCTCATGTGTGGGCCATAGCTGAAATTTTTCATTTACCACCCGTTCACATTATTGAAATGCTTGAAAACTCTTTTCAATTTCAATTTCAATTCAAAACCAACCCATCACAGCACAACTCGTTCGCCCGGTGACTCTGATGTCGTCGACTGAAATCAGTGTACTCGCTCGTCCCACTCCTGGACACGTTCTTCGCTTGTTGATTTGCCACACACATCTAAGACTTGATTTTCATAATGGCTTTATCCGTAAAACCTACAAAATATTTATTATATCCATAAGCGTAAAGCATGATCCCTGAGAGATGCGTGAAAAAAGCGGCAGCCAAAAACTCGCCGAGAACCGCGTATGGATGGAGCATTCGAAGGTTTCGATCGTACAACAAATATTGGCCTAAAGTTATAGTTTAGCAGTTTTCTTAATGACTTCTTATTGACTTCTTAATGGCATCTTATTGACTTCTTAATGGCTTCTTATTGACTTCTTAATGACTTCTTATTGACTTCTTAATGACAACCGGCTCTTCTATTAGACTTTTTACGGTATTTTAGCTTTGTTACACTAGAATAGTTAGGAACACTTGTCATAGATTGAGAGCTTGATTTACTCTTTTCTCTCCAGTATTACTTGATTTACTCTTTCCTTTCTAGTATTACTTGATTTACTCGTTCTAGTACTCAAAAATAAACTATAATAGTTATTTGTCTTGATAAACTTTCAACTGCAATTCTAACCCACCAATTCCAACCGGTCTGATGCTGTGATAGTTGGTTTCTTGTACTCGGAAAAGAATCGAAAAGCCGAGATACGAAAAGACGAGAGTGACTGAGAAGATGAACAAATGAAGCGAGAAGAGCAAGGCAAACGATTTTGAGACTCTCCAAAACACCTAAAATGTGAGAATAGCTTTAAAATCATGAATTGCAACTATTCTACGATAGCTCTTCTACCATAGCTCTTCTACAATAGCTCTTCTACAATTGTGCGATAGCTCTTCTACAATTATACAGTAGTTCTTCTACAATTGTACAATAGCTGTTCTACAATTGTGCAATAGTTCTTCTCCAATTGTACAATAGCTGTTCTACAATTGTGCAATAGCTCTTCTACAATTGTACAATAGTTCTTCTCCAATTGTACAATAGCTGTTCTACAATTGTGCAATAGTTCTTCTCCAATTGTACAATAGTTCTTCTCCAATTGTACAATAGCTGTTCTACAATTGTGCAATAGCTCTTCTACAATTGTGCGATAGCTCTTCTCCAATTGTACAATAGTTCTTCTCCAATTGTGCAATAGCTGTTCTACAATTGTGCGATAGCTCTTCTCCAATTGTACAATAGTTCTTCTCCAATTGTACAATAGCTGTTCTACAATTGTGCAATAGCTCTTCTACAATTGTGCGATAGCTCTTCTCCAATTGTACAATAGTTCTTCTCCAATTGTGCAATAGCTGTTCTACAATTGTGCGATAGCTCTTCTCCAATTGTGCAATAGCTCTTCTACAATTGTACAAAAGCTCAACTCACAGCTGGATATGAGATACTGTAGGCGATGAGAGCGAGGATGAAATTGACGAACTCCAACGGGATCCCGAATAAGCGAAAATGCATCAGGACTGAAAAATGAATATAAAGAGACAAAAAGAATCAAATTTCGAAATTGTTAGTAGATCTAAAGCAAACTTGCATGTAAAACATCTAGTAAAATACCTTTTCTACAGATTTGACTACAGATTTGACTACCTTTGACTACCTGGATAGTGAAAGAGTTCTTCAATAGCTTGATAAAGCGATTTTGACACTCATTTTGATATGAAATCTTACTTGGTAATAGATTCGGAGCAATTGGTGCCGCACTCAATTTGTCGGAGGTCATCGAGAATCCTTGAATCCTTGTCTCTCCAATGGGCAAATTTGTAGCCAAAAGTTTTGCTCGTTGATAGATGAAATCGAGCTCAGTGTTGAGGAAAACATCTAAAATGAATGAGTTAAACAATTTTGCATCTTTTTCTCTCAAAAAATCGATCTGCAACTTCTGAACAACTGCAAGTTCTGAACTCTGCAACTTCTGAACAACTGCAAGTTCTGAACAACTGCAATTGGCATATTTTAACCAACATTTTAACCAGTGAAATAATTGATCAAAATTTTCAGTAACAGCAGGCGTACTACGTTAATACTTACTTAATAATTCCCATTAACTTTATCTTAGCTATTGATACTTACAATGCCAGTTTCTTGTAGCCAGGCAACTCTCTAATCAACCACTATAGCCAGTTTGTAAACCAGCATTTAACTTTGCTAATATAGCTAAGCTAAGCTATCTAAGTTTAAAGCTGCTAATCTGCTAAGTTTAAACCTGCTAATCTGCTAAGTTTAAACCTGCTAATACGCTAAGTTTAAACCTGCTAATCTGCTAAGCTTAAATCAAGTTATATTAGAGATTTTTCAGTTGGGTCGCCACTATCCTGTTGAAGCTTTGAATGCTTTGAATGACTCCCGTTGAAGCTTTGAATGCACATCTATGCATATTTTGCTTTTTAGGATTTCTATAGGATTACAGGCCTTCGGGAGAGAGCGGTGATGATCCAAGAATCGAGCGTGGAATCAATCAGTGAGATACGGTTGTTTATGTTTGCTCCCAAACGAGTCTGGGCAGTACAGGATGTTCAGTATTTACGGCGACTTCTTTTTCGATTAGCTCACAAGCCCCAAGTTCAACCCAAATGTGTTAAGTATTATCTAAAATGTTGAAGCCCTTAATCTTGGCTACATTTATCTAGTAAAAGTTTTTTGTTTGGTGATATACAACTCATTTTACAAGCCTTTGAATGAGTTGATCCCTCTTGCTCCCAAGCTCCAAGTTCAACTCTAGTATGTTATATAAAATATTGACTAACTGAAGAATTTCTGGCGGGAGAATTTAAATAGAGACAAGAGAGGAGAAAAGGATATTCAATTGGGTTCACTGAATATCTAACACAAGGGAATTTAACACAAAAAGGGCGCAGAATAGGAACTAGAAGACATTAACCGTTCCATTATCACTCTTTTACCGTTCCATTATCACTTTTTTTTGCTCCCCACTTTGGCCAAAGTTTCTTCTCGGGTTGTCACTCATTTTTACACCTCTCCCCTACTTTTGAGCGCCTCAATGACCCGCTGTGAACCAATTTGAGTGAAGGTGATGGGTCAACTCTTTCTTCTCCACGATTTGACCCACACTGCAACAATTGTTTCTCTTTAAGCTGTGGAAAAGAACAATGGAAGGTTTTGATAGTAAGTTTTTGATAAAAATAAGGTTTTGATAACCAATTTGAATAGTTTTGCAAGAATTTACTAGAAGAAAAAGATTGGATGAATGAGCTCAGCTAACTATTGGAAATTTTCCTCTAACTAGGGAATTAGTGTGGGAAAATGGGCGAAAATGGGCGAAAATGGGCGAAAATAAGCGAAAATTCTCCTTTCTCAACCCTTTCTTTTCAGAACAGAGTCCTATTCATCAAATTTTTTCAAAAAAACTCAAACGGATCGTGTTACCGGATTGGATGAAAGCGTTCCGATACAATTGAGCGATCATCAGCTGTTGAGCGACGAGTTGCATCAAAGCGACCACCAGATGTAAGTGATGGGGAAGTGGAGGGGAATGGGCCCAAAGAGAACGAAGACAGTGGAAGCAACCTGGAGTTTTGAAAATGGAACTGAAACTACTGAAACTCAAAGTACTGCTTGTAACTAAGCTTGCTACACTTGTAATGCGGTATAGAATGCGGCAGAATTATAGAAACTCAAGGTTTTGAGTCTAACTCTGTTCTCAATGCCTCAAATAAGGTAATTCTAGTACTTTCTGAGTTACTTGCTTTAGGAACAACATTATTGGACAAGGGTAAATGTTTCCGTTCTAATATTAGATTGTTGTTAGAAGTTCTGATATTAGATTGTTGAGTTTTGAATGCGACTTTTTGCCCGACCAACGCTAAGCTATTCTAAATATAAGAAAAACTCTATATAGCGGAATTCTATATACCGTATTTTCTCTAATAGTAGTGCACCACGGTAGTTATTAAAAGTGCGCGCATCATCATTCAAAGTTACCATGATTCTGTCACGCATTGTATTTTTGACTGATGATAAGGCAACAAGCAAAATGCTTCAAAGTTAGTCACGCTATTCTGGGCGATTATTGAGAAAATGCGACATTGTAAAGTAAACAGTAATCCCTGGAAACCGAATAGTAATCCAAAAATACAGTAATCCAGTAATTCCTTGTTTTATTCTTTATTAAGTCGACTCGCACCTCTTTTGTCTCCATTTTTGTCCGATCCAGTCTCGATTACCCTTTCCTCTCGATCCGCCAACCTTTCGTGATCGCCCGGAATGTTGCCCGTTTTGAAAACACCACTTGCGAATATTGATAAGAGTCTAGAACTTGCATTAAGTCTAGAACTAATCTTAAATATATTCTAGAAATAATCTAGACATTCTATTCAACTCAAAATTTACTCTTTCAAACTCACATAGGAATACAAGCAATGTAGAGGATCACATAAACATTCAGCCACACCACTGGATAACCACCGTTCGCCGGCCATTTCATCTCATTGTAAAGTTTGTATCTGTAAAAGTAATATGATATTAAAAATAAAAAAACATATCTAAAACTATCTAGAACTTAGATATTGTCAAATCAAGCTGTTTTAGATGAAATTTTTGAGTTGTGTTTGTAGACTTTAAAACGTGAAAAATGTTTCTGCATTGTCATAAATCATGTGCAAATACTCAAATTCAAATTCAATTGAATTATAAAAGGGCTTCAGTGTACGAACCGTTCGAAACCGAGGTAGATGAGGTAACCCTGTAACAGCACGACGATGATCGTGTACCATATTGACCAGAGTGAGTTCAATCGAGCCTTAAAGGGACATTTTAAAGAATCTAGATGAAAGATTGATTTGGCTATCAGTTAGATTCAGTTAAATTCAGTTAGATTCAGTTTGATTCAGTTAAATTCAGTTAGCTTCAGTTAGATTCAGTTTGATTCAGTTAAATTCAGTTAAATTCAGTTAGCTTCAGTTAGATTCAGTTAGCTTCAGTTAGATTCAGTTAGATTCAGTCGGATTCAGTTAGATTCAGTTAGCTTCAATTAGATTCAGTTAGCTTCAATTAGATTCAGTTAGCTTCAGTTAGATTCAGTTAGCTTCAGTTAGCTTCAGTTAGCTTCAGTTAGCTTCAGTTAGATTCAGTTATTGGGTTGGGGAGAATGAGTTGGCGCCGAAAATGAAAAAAAATGTCTAAAACTTCTATTCGACTTCGTCAAATAATATGCGTTTGATATGAGTAGAATGGTTAACTAATTCTCTACAAAATGACATTTAAAAGAAAATTCAAACAGCGCCTCCGCTCAAGAAAAAGCCATTTTTTTCACAAAAACTACAAACTGTGATCTAGAAAAAACCATTGGTGGGATCTTCCTGCAAATTTGGCAACTTAAGTATTTGAATGTGCTCTATCTTTTTTATATAAACACCAAAGAAGGTTTATGTGAAAGAAACTGTTCAAATGATGAGTCGGACTCTTTGCCATTTTAACCAGCTGCGTTTGGAAGTTCATAAACTCGACGAAAGAAAAGCTTTGTGGAATCTCTCAAAAGTGATTTTGTAGAGAAATAGTGGATCCTTTTGATGAAACCAAACGTATGTTTAAAGAAGGCTTTATGTGTGCAAAAAGTCCCTTTAAAGTTTGGCGCCGACTCATTCTCCCCAACCCAATAGATTCAGTTAGATGCATTTGGCTATCAGTTTGATTCAGTTAGATTCAGTTAAATTCAGTTAGATTCAGTTAGATTCAATTAGATTCAATTAGATTATTCTTTAGTTAGTTTGTTAAAAGTTCCTTAAATTCTTCTAAAACTCACTCGAAAAGTGCAGCCCATTTTTTCGTTTTTCTACCGATCGTTTTCGTTCACATTAGGTGAGCTTTTCTAAAAAATAAAAGCATTGAATTTTTTAAAAAATTAATTAAAAATCAAAAGAAAAGATTAAAATGAATCAAAAAACAAAAGAAAAGAAAGAAATCAATTAAAAATAAGAAATTTTGGCACCAGTCACTTTCTCAAATTATCCAAAGGGGGAAGCAAAGCAGCAAAAGCAAAGAAGCTAACTTTTTTTCATTTAAAAACTGATTTGTCACGTTCTTTTATCAATCTTTAAGCTTTATATATGTGAATCAGATTGAAATCTAAAAGCTGAACAAGATAGAATAAGTAGAATCAGATAAATCAGAAATAAATCAGATGTTTCTTCAAACTGTTTATAGCTTCGGTTCTTTTTTTGATTCCTGAAAGATTTCTGAAAGATCTCAAGCCAAATCCTTGTGAAAATTATAAACAAAAAGGCTAATGGATTGAAAAGTCAATAAATTTGTTGTTGAAAAAGAAAATTCTTTGAAATGTTGACAATTTTAGAAAAGAATTCTAACGATAAGCAAAGCTTTGAAATTTTTGATGAATCTAAAGTCGAATTTAAGATTAAAGTTTTCTTTTAAGATTTAATATTGCCCGGAATGCCCGGAATATAATATTACAATTGCCTGGAATCCCAAAAAGTCAAGGGTTCAGTTGCAATTGTCAAGGGTTCAAGTCAAGGGAAATCGACTTTATCTTACTAATTCCTTCACTTCTTTATTAAAGAAACACAATGAAAACGAGATTTTCTAGAGTTAGCTGGCCGAGCGTGCCATTGGGTTGGTGAATTGAAAGCTGCGGGACTTTGAACTAAAATTTATTCAACATGAAACCATAAATTCATTCCACATAATCTCCATTATTATTGACGACTTCTGCCGATTTTACAGGCAATTTGCGGATTCCTCTTTCGTAGTAGGATTTTGGTTTGTGTGTGAGACAAGTGTGAGACTCAAAAATGGAGGACTGGAGACTCAAAAATGGAAGAATGTCCCAGTTTGAGCACTTTCTTCAAAAGAAACCCATTTTGGTGTCAATAGAAAAGTTGTAGAGAATCAAAAATTAGGCTTATAGCCAAATTTCCAAAAAGATACACTTAGTAGTTTCGCTTCAAATGCAAGTTTTGTGAAAATTCGTAAATTTGGCATTTCTTGAAAACCAGTTTTTGAATCGTTCTGAAAATTTGGATATAAGTTTCATTTTTGATTCTCTACAACTTTCCCATTGACACCAAAATGGGTTTCTTTTGAAGAAAGTGCTCAAATTGTCACATATGACAATAGCCCGAAGTTTTCAATTCACCAATCCAATAATATTACAATTGCCTAGAATGCCAAAAAGCCAATGGCTTCAGTTGCAATTGTCAAGGGTTCAAGTCAAGGGAAATCGACTTTATCTTGCCAATTCCTTCACTTCTTTATTAAAGAAACACAATCAAAACGAGATTTTCTAGAATCAGCCGACCGAGCATGCTAGATCGGGGAAAAAGATTGGTAGAGATTGGTCATGATGTCCATTTCTAGTTCACCCTCTTTCTCCTTTCTCCTTTCTCCTTTCTTCTTCCTCCTTTCTCCTTTCTTCTTTCTCATCCCCATGAGCAAACAATGATCGATGCACTGCCCAGAGATGGATCACTTTCGTGTTATTTGATTGAAAGAATATGTAATCTAGAAAAGAGAACTCAAAAATATTGAGGTGATAGTGTTGCTAGAGATTTGGAAAGTAATTGAACATAAATTGAACATAAAAGAGACTTATAGAATAGAATTTTAGATAAAAAATGGAAAAAGACAAAGAAATTGCTTTAATGTTAACAAAAAAATTATTTCAAACAGCCAACTTTTAGAGTTTTGTGATACTTATAAATTTTTGAATCAAATTCAAAGCTTGTATATTGTTTATACAAGTCTTGGATTTGTTTAGCATATTGTTTAACATATTGTAAGAATATTGTAAGAATATTGTAAGAATATTGTAAGATATTGTAGGCTTGGATATTGTAAGAATGCTAAATTGTAAGAATGCAATAAGAATAATGGTCACATTTTATCAGAAAATTGAAAATGGTCCATTTGAAAATGGCTTTATAAGCTCAAAAATGAAGATTTTATAAATTGATACCCGATTCGATAAAGTACAAGCATAGTTTGAGTAATTCGAATGAGTACAAGCATAGTTTAGTACAAGTTTAAAGATCATTTATATAAAGATTGACTGGTGAATGGATAGAAATGAGAGAAATCGGGTGGACGATAAAATCGAGCAATAACTGTCACTACGACTCACAATCAAACCATTCACCAATCATCGGAGATCCGAAATCCAACCCTTTTTTACAATTCAATACAAGTTTTGTTCTTTGGATTGAATTGAATCCAAGATATTCTTATTTTAATCAAAAATCGTAGAGTTTTAAGCGAACTAGAGTTTGGAAGAGGTTAAGAACTGAAGTAAAAAAAGGCTGATAGAATCTGAGGCTGATCGAATCTGAGGCTGATTGAAAGAATATGTACCCTAAAGTCTCGAGTATAATTTCATCCGAGTATAAGTTCTGCCTTAATTTACATTCGCTTTAATTGCTTTGAATTTCTTTTTGTTGGGTTTTTATACATTTTTATTGTTATATAAACTTTATTATTGTTCTTGGAGCGCGGGATACTACAGGGTGACAGCCTATCACCATTGCTATTTGTTATGTGCATGGATACATCCAGACGATAGTGTTGAAGAAGAGACGATGAAAAGCATCTCTTTCGACCGTCGACGTGGACTTTGGCCGGATGAAGAGGCCAGGGAGGGATCCATAAGACTGAGCCCCGGAGAGGAGCAGGGCGGACGCGCCCGAAGCAACAAATAACAGCATAAAATTGCTATAACCCTCAATAAATTTACTTCTATTATTGTTCTTAAAAAGCAACAAAGTTATGCTGCAGCGGGGTTCGAACCCTCGACACACCGCACCGGAGACAGCCGTCAATTTGCATGCGAAAACCAAACAGAACTTATACTCGCGACTTTAGGGTAATCTAGAAAAGAGAACTCAAAAATATTGAGCTGATATCGTTGCTATAGATTTGGAAAGTAAAATTGAATGGAAAGGGGACTTATAAAATAAAATTGAATATAAAGGAGACTTATAAAATAGAATTTTAGATCAAAAATAGAAAAAACAAAGAAAAAACAAAGAAATTGCTTTAATGCTTCAACAAAAAACTTAAAAGCTGACAAGTTATGAATTTTAAAACATTCTAAAGTCCAAGTCTAAAGTCTAGAAAAAGGCCAAAAACCAAAATGGTTTGACAAATGGAACAGTTTTTTTAAAACACTATCTCTAATGAGCAAAAAAAGATCGTTTATATCAAAATTTATTGACCTGATATCGGATCTCTCAAAGAGATCTCAAATCTCGAACAGAGAACAAAATATTTTGATGATTTTGACTCCGCCTCTTCTCTAGTTTACCCAAGAAAAACAACCGCAAAAAGTTTTTGCGAAAAATTTCTAGTTAACCCGAAAAAAAAATGACAGAAACTGATCGGAGTGGAAGAGAAAAGACGGAAACTGATCGGAATGGAAGAGTTTAGTGGCACTGGGCGTCATTTGGCCACATGCACACTCAATTGAGAACAAAGAATGAAAAGAAAAAGAAGAAACATGTTCAGAAAACGTGCAGAAACGTTTTTCTCGTTTGTTTATTACTGTGCCAATAGCTTTTATTCTAAATATTAGGCTGTCTAGCCTTGTCTATTAATATTATGCTGTCTGTCTAACCCGCAACCTTTCGCTCACCTGGCAAATGTGCTAAGCATTACACCACAACGCACTTAATCTCCCTTACTTCATAGGGAGCTAACTAGTTATTGGTTAATTTTCTTGGTTTTAGATACAGCCTAACCGAACCCGGTCCATGAAAACCCGTTATGCCAGCCTGCCTCTTTAAACCAACTAGTCCAGCCCTGACTAGTCCAGCTCTGACTAGTCCAGCTCTGACTAGTCCAGCTCCGACTAGTCCAGCTCCGACTAGTCCAGCTCTGACTAGTCCAGCTCTGACTAGTCCAGCTCCGACTAGTCCAGCTCTGACTAGTCCAGCTCTGACTAGTCCAGCTCTGACTAGTCCAGCTCTGACTAGTCCAGCTCTGACTAGTCCAGCTCTGACTAGTCCAGCTCTGACTAGTCCAGCTCTGACTAGTCCAGCTCTGACTAGTCCAGCCACTAGTCCAGCCTGACAGTCCAGCCTGACAGCCAGCTGACTACCAGCGACAGCCAGTGACTATCAGCCTATATTCCAGCTCTGACTATTCCAGCTCTGACTATTCCAGCACTTTATCTTCCTTACTCCAGAGGGAGTTAACTAGCTATCGGTTAATTTTCTTGGTTTTAGATACAGCCTAACCGGGCCCGGTCCATGAAAACCCGTTATGCCAGTCTGCCTCTTTAAACCAACTAGCCCAGCCCTGACTCTTGGGCTGGTTTGTCAAGTCAAAGTTGAGTTTGCTTCACATTTGCTTTAAATAAGACACGTGTTTCGTCTAGGGCTACAAAAATGCCAAAGAAAGAAGCCATAGAAATATTAGCCACAAAAATGTTTTAATAATGAACAGATCAATGATTGAACTAGGCTCTTCTGCTTCTAGGCTCTTCAATGCTTTCTTGCTATTTCAATTAAAAGCTTGAAGTCTTTTGAAGAACAAAATTCGAATAAATTCAAAAAACAAAAAAGCGTTGTTATTCAAAAAGTGGGTGGATAGTGGAGCGCCGAAATGAGCACGGCATTCATATTTGGGACTTTCAAAAAGAGATGGAAAGTCCTCTCTTTTCCCATTTCAAGCGGTCAATGTCGGACACGACACGCCCCAAAAAGAGATCCGAAAAGAGAGCCAAAAAGAGATCCCGACAAAAAGAGGTCCATAGGGAAAATATGCAAAGCGCTCTCTTTTGGCATGAAAACCTTTTGAGTCTTTCTACGGCTG